TTTTTTTTTTTTTTCCTTCATGAGCTAAGGCATAGTGGCAGTATCCCCTAGTAATTAAAAGGGTGGCTTCTTGAACTATTTGAGTTTATAATTCTAGTTCACCTTTTCTAGCATGTCTGTCCCTAAGTGAGTTAATGTAATCAAATGTTTGGATACTGTATCAGTATACAGTGAGTACTGTGTGTGCATGGCCTGTAACTATTAGTTTGGTTAGCTTGTTCATAGGTAAGGTTAAAATTACAGAAAGAACTCATCAGGACCTTGAAAATAATGAACTCTCTTATTTTCTATCCTGGGATGAATTAACATACAACCTTTAATAAGATTATCCTCTACTTTTAAAATATATTATAAAATTATAACAGCAAGAACAACTGGGAATAAACACAAATGACTGTTGGTATGCATACAACCAAAATAGCAGGGTTAATACAGGTGTTCAGGAGTACTTATTCTACCTGTAAGCATTCAGGGTGCCTTGGGAATCAATAAGTATGTGAGCATAAGTGCACACGCAGGTGGGGAGATGACATGAGATGGGTAAGTATTTACATCAGTGACTGTCCTCACCTTTTCTGGCTTCTTACCATTCCATTTTTGCTCGAAACCAAAGAGGTGGCATGTTAGTTTCCTAGTACTGCTTATAACAAGGTGACTTGAAACAACACAAATTCACTCCTTATACTTCTGGAATCCAGAAACCTTAAGCTCAGATCCTTAGGGTGGTTCCTTCTGAAGGTTCAGAGGGAAGAATCTGTTACATGCCTCTTTTCCAGCTTCTAATGCTTGGCAGTAATTCTCGTCATTGCTTGGCTTGGAGAAGCATCACACCAATTTCTGTTTAGGTTTTTTTGTTTGTTTGTTTTTGGTACTGGGAATAGAACTCAGGACCTCGAGCTTGCCAGGCAGGTGCTGTGCTGCTAAGCTATATTCCTGGCCCACTTTTAAGATTTAAACCTCAGCCCTTTTAGTCAGATGGATGTGGAATTTGAATGCATGTGCTGCTTGTTTGTGATCTTGGGCAAACTGACCTAAACTGTGAGCTCATTTTAAGGAAAATGTGAAGAATACCTTCCTCAGATGATTGTGATGTGAGATGTATTGCAGAAGGTATAGAAATAAATGTTCCTTAATCTACTGGGATTAAACTCAGGGTCAACACAGTAGCCTCATTTTCTCCCTGAAGTTTGTATATTTTAATGGATAAAGTGCAAGGCCTACTCCATAGAAGTTTACAGACAAAAGAGTATGATGGTGTTTAGAGAACTCTCAATTTATGAGGAAAATGTTAAGAGATTAAGTCTTCAGTCTTGCTATGCCATGTCTTTTGCTTTATTCTCTCAAGACTAAAGTGGATAAATATGACCAGAAATAGAGGAGGCATTAAAATATGTTTTATTATTTCCCCTGGTATCACCTACAGTAAATTTCATTCCATATTAAAAATTAAAGTCTCACTTGTAATTCTATTAATATTCAGTAGTTTGTTTTATGCAGTGTCAAGAGGCAAACATGTACTATCTGGCACATAGGAGTTACCAATGATTATGTCATTCTTCGGCTGGAAATGCTTTTGAAGGTGCAACCACTCACTCATGATAAAAATATTTTCTTCAAACTTTTTGACCAAATAATGTGACAAATCATAGAAGCTAGGCTGGTGTTTTGGGCATATGACCTGCACCTAGAAGTACTCTGCTTGGCTTAATGCTGTGCTACTCCTGACTTAAAATTCTTAATAATTTTGAAAAAGAGGCTCCACATTCTTTTTTTTTTAAATGAAAGAAGGAAAACATTAACAAACAACCATTTACAAAAGAGTAAAAGAACAATACAAATAATACAGAGTTACAAACGAAGTGGCAGGAAATTAATGCTTATTGTATTACATATTGATATCTTCAAAGTGGTTTCTCAGGAAAACAACTAAAAGACATGCAATATTGATCAATCATGGACTCATTAACTATTTCTTTCAAGAAAGAAATAGAAGACAGTTCAACTATGTTAACTATCCTATATATACATACATACAAAATTTTTCCTTCTTTCCCTTCTCTTTTCCCACATCCTAGTTGCCCTTTACCCTTGAGCATTTTCCTTTCATTTCACAATGTCTATCATACCTCCTACTTTTTATTCACTCAGGTTTTACACTAGTGAGACAATGCGGTGCTTGCACATGCAAGTCTGATTTATTTCAGTTATGAGTATGGTCTCCAGTTGTGACCATTTACCTATAAAAGAAGAGGCTCCATATTCTGAGTTTGCATTGAGCCCTATGAATCATGTGGCCAGTCTTGTGTAAAATAATTTGAAATAATCTTTCTTTTACAATGGATTTTTATTATATTTAAAAAACCTAAATGAATGCAATGAGGGATACTTTTAATCAAAACTCACTTCTTATAAAAAAGTGAACAATATGTATAATTACAAGTATGGTAGACAATACCTATGTGAATATCCCTATATAAAGATTGACCTTGCAACCTAAATATCCATCAGAACAGCACCGGTTAAATCATATAATAATGCGGTACTACTTAAGACTCCTGGGTCTCAATCCTGGATGAACATTAGAATCATTTTAGACAGTTAAAAAATTTTTTTACCCCTCCCTCTGAGAGGCTGATCAGTTTAGTATGTTTGAAACTCTGACTTTTTTGTTGTTTTATTTGCTTTTTTTAAAAAAAAACTCCCCAGTAAATCTAGTTTTCTGGCAGGATGGAAAACCACTGATAGAAAATTGTCCACAATATATGGGTACATTTTTAAAAAATGAAGAGGACATGGCATTGTTGATAATAGGATCTCATTTATGTAAAATATTTTCAATGAGCAATATAAGTTCTAGAGGGATAATTACCAAACCTGAGGTAGTGGGTGGGGGAATTGTTTTAGCTACTGTTCTCATCACTGGGATAAAAATACCTGACATTGGCAACTTAAAGGAGAGATTTATTTTGACTCACATTTTAGAAATTTTGGTCCTTGCATGGTCTCAGCATAGCAGAAGGATCTGAGCAGAGGAAAATTGTTCTTGTCATGGTGGCCAGGAAGCAGAAAGAGGGGAGGAACAAGAGAGGGAGTTTAAACCTTTCCAGGCCACACTACTAGTGACCAGTCTGCTCCCATCAGACCTCACCTGGCAACAGCAAGCCACCCCATAATCCAGTCACCTCCGAACACACTAGGCATGAGACTCTTGAAGACTTCATTTTCTGTACTTTAATTTCATTTACATTTGAGTATTTTTTATTTTAATTTTATTTTTGCAGGAAATTTCAAACCAGAGCCTTTGAAGTGAGCTACATTCCCAGCCTTTATTTTATTTTGAGCCAGGCTGTTGCTAAATTGTCCAGGCTGGGCTTGAACTTGTGATCCTTGTGCTTCAGCCTCTGCCACCATGCCTAGTTTGATGCAGTGTTTTTAATATCAGCAGAAGCTTTACGTTTTTATTTTAAGAAAAAAAAGTAAATCTTTGATTTTTAGCTTCCAGCTGTTTTTAACATGAATACTTAAAATTTGTATTAAGTTGTCTGAAATTTGGGTGAGTTTACATTTTAATATGTATTTCACAACTTTGAATTAGTTGAAGCCATCCCTGTTTACCAGTAAGAAATCAAAGAGCTACAATACTTGAGTACTCAGTACAGTACTCTTAAGAATTGACACTCAATCTCACAGCTCATTACCAGTTCGGTATTTTTACTCTACTTTACCATTCTAGACAGCATTCCTACCGACAGGAGTCATTATACACCAAGAAACATTAACTGGCGGGGTTAATCTTCCAGAGATATTCAAAATAGGAATAATTATTGCTTAACTTCAAGAGATGACTCCTAGGCCTGTTCATACCCAGCTTACCGACCACAGACAACTGAAATGTTTTTCTTAATCATTTTGTTTCTTTGGATGAAGGAATATCCAAGACAAATTTGTGCCTGTGCTTGCATATGTTCATCTTTCCATTTTTTTTTCTTTTTGTACCCAGAATTGAACTCAGGACCTTGCGCTTGCCAGGCAGGCGCTGTGCCTCTGAGCTATCTTCCTGGCCCCCATGTCTTCAGTCTGGGAGGAAGATAATTTTTTTAGAGCTTTGTTGTATTTTTAGTGAATACATAATAGTTGTACATATTTATGATAGGGTACAATGTGATGTTTTGATACATGTATACTGTTCATTGTGTTGTGATCAAATCAGGGCACTTAGCAAATCTGTCACCTCAAACATTTATCATTTCTTTATCATTACACCAGGCACCTCTCCTTCCAGGCCCTTGTCCCAGCTTTGTGCCCAGGACACTTTCCCAGTTGCCTGTGATGAGGCTAGCTTTCCTCACTTAGCTGTCTTCAACCTCCATACCCCTACTCATGCCCTTTACCTTGTTGTCAGTTTCTAAATCTACATTTTTAATACATACATTTGTCTGTCTCCCACCATTAAGGTAGAAACTGCCTGAGAGCAGGGACTTTGTTCTTCTTTTTTAATCTTTTTTTTTTTTTTTTTTTTTTTGGTTTTTCTCCAGTGCCAGGAACCGAACTCACGACCTTGCGCTTGCCAGGCAGGCGCTTTGCCACTGAGCTAAATCCCCAGCCCCGGACTTTGTTCTTTTACTATTCAATTGGCCAGGCACAGAACAGGACCTGTCTGTAATCGGCATTTAGCAATTACCTGTAAATAAACCTATCTTCTATTTACACTTTTAAGCCTTTTTTTTTTATGACACATTAACCCAGATTGCAGAAGCTGAGCTTGACTTTGTTACTGGAAACCTTGCAAACAGAAAGAGGAAGTAAACTTCTGTACCAATGCTCGATCTTATTTGTTTTTTTTTGGTTTTGGTTTTTCTCCGGTACCGGGAACCGAACTCACGACCTTGCGCTTGCCAGGCAGGCGCTTTTGCCGCTGAGCTAAATCCCCAGCGCCTCGATCTTATTTGTTAAAGAAAAACTGTTGTGACTGATGGACAGTTGTGCATATTAATATTTTTTTCCCCAGTACTGAGGATTGACTCAGACCTAATACTCTTTATTTAACATTAATTTCCAGTGTAGGACAACTACAAGGCTGCCTACATGCTCTTCCTTATTCCAACTTTCTCAAGGAGAGGGTTGGGTGGGGGGTGACAACATTTCAAAGACAGAAAACAAACGCGAAGGAGGCCACGCATCCTTTGGTTCCTTCCTGAAGCAAGGAAGCATCAAAAGGATTATGAACACTCCCTTCCTTCAAGACTTCTTGGGGTGACAAAGAATAAGGAAAGGGATTTTTAGGCTCATATTCCCTGTTGCAAAGCTCATCTGAATTTAAAAAATACCAAGTTCAGTAGACTTTAAGCAGGAGCCAGTTCTTCAAGTTCCACCTAGACTGAAGTTAGTGATGTTCTCTGAGTTCTGTGTACTGGAGTAAAGAATCAGTGAATTTGGGCCACTTTACTAAACACTTTGACTATTCTTAATTTCATGTAACTAATAAAAGTCCTACAAAGTAAGTACTGTCATCTTCAGCTTTTGGATGGGAAAATCAGGAGGCATTAGGGATCCTAAAGAATTCAAATGGTGGGCTGGGGATTTAGCTCAGCGGCACAGCACCTGCCTGGCAAGCACAAGGTCGTGAGTTCGATTCCCGGTACTGGAAAAAAACAAACAAACAAAAAAACACACACAAAAAAGTCAAGTGGTGCACTCTGAAGATTTGGCTGAAGACAGAAAGACATCTAAGAGTGGGCCCTGGTGTGGGACATCAGCAAAGCTCCTGGGGAACTGATGATGGCCTGAAAGAAGGGAGCAAACAAGGAACTAAGTTGGGCAGGAGCTAAGAGTAGCGAGGCAGGGCAGGAGTGGGGTAATAAATTCCTAGTGTGCCCATTCTCTGGTCTTACTCTCCAAGGACAAGAACACTGGGGGATGCAGTCGGCACCCAGAAAAGCAAAGTGGGGAGCAGATGGAGGTGGGGTGGGACACAAACTGAGAATAACCAGCACAGAGGTTTGTAAGTGTGTGTGGAGGTTTGCAAGTGTGTGTGAAGAAGCTTGGATTTCTGGGGCTGGGGATTTAGCTCAGCGGCAAAAGCGCCTGCCTAGCAAGCGCAAGGTCGTGAGTTCGGTTCCCGGTACCGGAGAAAAACCAAAAAAAAAAAAAAAAACAAAAAAAAAGAAGCTTGGATTTCAGAGTTTTGACCTCATTCCTTCCACCACAAAAAAGTTCTTGCAGTTCTGGATTTGACCTATTAGGTGATCCCAATACCCAGTGGCTTGCAATAAGCATTTAAAACAATGAACAACAGAAAATATGAGTCCCTGCAACAAGTTCTGATCATACAGGTCACAAGGACAAACATGTTTCTGACTTTGGATAGCATCCCAGTAAGACTGACATACACTTGTCTGTACTGCATTATCCTCATATGACTAAACTCAGCCTCATAATGTAGGGGCCCTTAGGAATGGTTAGTTTGGGGAACTGGGCCCTTTTTAAGAGTTGAGAAGAGGGGTCCTGTGCATCTCATGCAAGCAGGTAAGTTGACAGCTTGTGGTTTTGACACCCTGTCCTGTGTAGCTGCTGTCCCACATAAGCCCTTTAAGTGGTTACTTCTCTCCTCAAAATTGCCCTATTAGCCCACCAAACTTCGCCCCCTAGCAACAAGTCCAATAACCAATCAAGTAGTGACCCTCAGAGGAGGTGGAGATAGGACCCCTAATCCTGAAATAGCAGCCCCCCATTCAGCAGTATTCCAGCTGTGCCCTGCTACTCCTGAGGCTCTTTAACACTTTCTCTTGCAATATGTACAATAAAATTGCTTTCGTTTTGAACTGGTCTTCTGTTCTGACTCCTCTTCCTCTTTTTACATCAGAGTGAGACAAGCCCGGTGAGGCTGAGTCTGGGGACTCCTCTTCCTCTTTTTACATCAGAGTGAGACAGAGTGAGTCCGGGGACCCCTAGGCCCACTGGATATTAGAATAAGTGCCTTAAATTCCAAAACAGAGCAAAAGCTGTGGGATGACTTTCAGAAAATGTCTTCAGAGTTTGGATGCAGTTGAGATTGGCCCATGTTTTGTAAGAGTCGCACCTCTTACAAAACATGAGCTGTTCAGAAGGACACTCAGCAGAGTGAGCTCAGGAAGTGAGGAAGAAAAGCACCAGCCAATAGGCAGCCTCTTTGCAGGTGACCATCTTAGTGGTCTCTGCAACTAGCAGCTTAGAGTCAAAGAATTTTCTTTATGTGATTCTAGAATAAATCTTTGTGATGGGACAGACTTTAATTTGTTATGAGCAGTAGCTTAGTAGCTTTTATGACTAAAGAAATTATTTAACCTCTTTGATTTGTCAAATAAAAACAAATAGCTCTTAAAAGTCACAGAGGATACATGTAAACTGCAACTATATGTAAAGAATCTGGCCTGACTCATGAATTCAATAATAGTGATTCTTCCTGGTACTATTATAGGCTTTTAAGTAAAGATGGTGATTGTCTGCAAATACACTTTCCTTACTGCAAATGCTAACAAACATTATTATAACAAGGAGCTGTTCTATGAATGGCTGTTTTTAAATGAGGAAAGCTAACACTCAGTTAAAGCCCAAAGTAAATCCCATTGAATTCCTTTCTGTGCAGAGAAGCTATTAGGAGGGAGCAGGAGTAAAGGTTAGAGAACAAGAGCCATGTGAATGAATGTTGGTGTGGAAGTTCTGAAGTGAAACTGGCATCACAAACTGCTCTGCAGTCTTCCCCACAGCCCTCCTTGCCCACCTCCCACCAAGTGATAAAAAACATTTATACTTCTGAGGACTAGACTTACTATTTAAAACAAAGAAACATTCTCTTTTGCAAATCAAACTTTTTGCATGACTTTATTATCCTCCCCCAACTTTTATTATTGAACAATGAATACAGGTCTAACTAAATCGTAAGTATTTCTTATGTACGGCCAGTTTTGGGGGTTTTTTTGTCTCCATAATTGTGACAATAACATGCTTTGTCCAAGTAATCATTTTCAGTCAATGAAAATAAAGCTCTTTTCTTTTTATCTTACAGGCCAGTCACCTCACACATACCCAGTTCAGAGGATGCTAATATAAACCTTGCCCAGCTCTCTCAGCCCATCCTTCTTACTCAGACAGTTTCCAAGCAGCTCTCTGATGGAGACACACTCTGGAGTTTCCAGGACAAATTGTTTCACAGCCTGCTGTCCTGGCAGACGGCTCCTCAGCATCTCACTTTTGACGCTGTCTAGGATGACTCCTCTGACATCTTTAGGTTTTTCTGGCACACCAAAGATGATAAATAGGCCCAGACAATCCTCTCCTATCAAGTTACAGAATTCTTCCAGCTTATCGAATCTACTTTTCTTCCAAGAAGACTCTTCTGTCTTTGACTGTGGACTGAAGAGGTCACAAGGCTTTGGCTCCACCAGAGGAAGAGAAGTCATTTGTAGAGTCTGTACTGCAAGCTGAAGCCTTATTTGCTTATCAGTTCCCCAAAAGGTCCAAATCCAGTCTGCCCCAAACAGTAAGGTTTGGTGTTTGGTCATTTTGGTGGTAGTAAGCCACTCATCAATTCCTTTTTCTTGGCAGAAAGTGATGAAGTGGATTAAGAAGATCTCATTCAGAGTATTTGCAGTGAGGTAGAGTTTACTCAGAGGATACTCCAATCCAAGATACTCCTTCAGTTTTTGGGCTGCATGAACGATCGCTTCACTGGCCACCTCACAGACACCAAGAACCTCTTTGTTGTTCTTCAGAGCCAACTGTTGTGATGCTTTTTGCCCCATTTTTTCTGCACTCGGTCACTGCTCCCAAATGTTAAGCATGTGAACGTTGTTCAGAAGTGCTTTCCTTTCAGAGCAAACTTCTGCAATGAAGTCACATCTGTTAAAATGCTCAGTTTCCTCACCTCTACAGCTTCCCTGGGATAGCTAAGCATATAGACATACAGCTAAACAAACATTTGAGGCTTCCTGTTTGTCATTTGGGAGTGTTGTACTCACAGAGATTCCTGTTGTTTCATTAAGTTACAGACAGTAAATTCCACACAAAACAGCTCTTACTGTCTAGGCTACAATCATTCTACTTTTTATGTGGCACTGGGGATCGAATCAGCCAGGGCCTTCACACTGAACTATATCCCCAGACATTTTTCGGGTACATTTTAGATTTTGATACAGGGTCTTGCTAAGTCACTAAACTGTCAGGCTGGGCTTGACCTTGTGATCCTCCTGCCTCATCCTACTATAGGGTTGGGATTATAGGCATAGAGGCTACCACGCACAGCTTAGCCTACCTTTCATCTTTCCTCCTTCCTTTTCTTTTTACAGTACTTGGGACTGAACCAAGGGCCTCTGTACTACAAACCAGTTCCTCTTATTTTGAGACAAGGTCTCACTAAGTTCCCAACGCTAGGCTTGAACTTTCGATTCTCCTGCCTCAGCCTCCCAGAGTGGGATTACAGGTATATGCCACTATGTCCAGAGCCACATACCTCTTTCTACAACTAACTTCAAATCTGTAAGTAAGTCATTTCTGTTTGCTTTTCCTATATCCTGTCATAATTTCTCATTTCTTAGCTCAGTTGCATAATATTTTCTTTCACACATGTTTATCAAAGACCTTAAATTTCTCTTTATTGATATATTTATACTCAAGAAAATTTATAGTTTAGGGGCTGGGGATTTAGCTCAGCGGCACAGCACCTGCCTGGCAAGCGCAAGGTCGTGAGTTTGATTCCTGGTACCAGAAAACAACAACAACAACAACAACAACAAAACTTATAGTTTAAAAACTAGAATTTGTATTTTTATTATTTTTGACAGAGGGCCTCACTTTGTAGTTCAGGCTGGGCTTGAACTCACTGTATACACCAGGTTGGCCTTAAACTCATGGTAATCCTCCTGCCTCGGCCTCATGAGTGCTGGGATTATAGGTGTATGCCACCATACCTGGCCCTATTTGTTATTTTGAACAAAGCAAAATTAAATAATGACAATAAAAACATGAGTCAATTATCAGTTGACTTTATTTCCTCTCATATGGCATTACCAGCAGCATATATTTTGTAAATAAAATATATCATGGAACTATTTCATCAGTTATATTGTCCTGAATGAAGAATATTTGGTATCTGTAACAGTCTTATGGTATTTTGAACCAGGTTCAAATAACAAATTTGGGTTTTTCAAATGGTGACATAAATTCACATTAAAGTAAAACCCAAATACAGGCCAAGTCTAATACATTTACCAAATAACGGTAGAGTTCAAACAAAACCATTGTTAGCAAGAAATCATTTTAGTGATGAATATATAATAATGGAGTGTTATAAGTTCCTTGATGAATAAGCTTGGTAACTTGCTGATAATGAGAAATACCACTGATATTCAAATACAGTTTATAATCAAGTCCACTGGCACAAACCAAACCACGCACCTCTGCTCCAGTTCGTGAACGCCCACTCTAAGCAGTTGGCTATAATGAGCAATTATGTAACACTAAATGAAAGATAGACTTTTCCTAAAACAACAAGATAAAAACAGGAACAGTTTTTGCTTCAGTTTTTTCTGTTCTTTATAAAGACTATTTTGGTGTTTGTAACATTTTGTCTAAAAAAATAGCCATTATAAAACTAATTTTGCAGTCTCAAAATTTTTGAATTCTGCCCCATTGACAGCCTGAGAAATGTGTAATCAAGTTTAGGTAAACTGCTAGTATTATGATATAATGATGTATTTGGCAAAGTGGAAAGTATGAAACTTAATACTGAAAAGGTTTCTGCTTTGCTTTTGGTTTCTTTAGAATTTCTTTATAAAATCTTATGGTGTATGAATACTTATGAATGAATTCAATACTTATGAATGAAATATTTAAACGGTTCATAAATTTTGTAGTGTCATCAAAGAAGGGGTATTTCGTGTATATTACCTTAATTTCAATGACTAATACTTAAATTCAGCTGTGGAGAAATAAATATCATTTTGTTTTCTTTAGGAACTGGCTGGTATATGGAAATTTAGAAGTTGGGGATTTTGTTTTTGATGTGACCTTTTCATCATCTACCTTATGTCTCGAAACTTATTTTCTATGTTGTGTGTGTATTGTGTGTATGTGTGTGTGTGTATGTGTGTGTATATATATATATATATATATATATGTAGACAGAGAGAGAGAGAGATGTATAAAATAAGAGGCAAGTGGAGGTGTGACTGGCATTTAGTGGGCACACTGAAGGGGTAACAAAATCCCATATATAAGTCTTTTTTTTGTGTGTGTGGTACCAGGGATCGAACTCACAACCTTGCACTTGCCAGGAAGGTGCTTATGCCACTGAGCTATATCCCCAGCCCCCCATATATCAGTCTTAAAAGCACAGACTGCACAGATGGCTGTGATGAATACAGATGTCACAAAGTCAGTCCTAAACCCATACTAGGGATGTGGATGGAAACACTGTGGTAAAATACTCATTTTAAATGCAACACTTTAAATATAATATATCACAGATTTTTACATTAAATAGAGGAAAAACAATTATACTTTCTTTACCAGTGTCTCATTTTTTGTGTCAACTTCTAAATAGGAACATTTCACAATTTCCATTTTCACTTCTGCAGGAACAGAAGTTAGAGAGATAAACAATATACAATCCTTTGCCTGCTGTATACACTGTATTTGAAAAATAAAGTGGAAAGAAGACTAAGGGTTCCAAGTGCTTATCCAGGTTCCACAGTTACACATTTGAGTCTTCATCTGTGATGCTGGCACTGGGGGAACGGGCAGCAAAATCTTTAAACATATCATCTTCTTTTAACATGTGCTGGAAACAAAGAGACAGGAACACACAATGTAAGTATGAGCTTGGAACTACACAGTCTCAATATACATGCAGTCCTTTGGGGTTATTTAACAGGTATTATTAAAGGAGCATTTTCGATTCACTGTACAAACTTACTGTGAGGTTGTTGATGCCTTCAGAAAATGCACCTATCTGTCTCACTGTCCCTTCTGAATCTTCCATCTGCAAAGAACAAACCATACTGTAATATCATTTTCATAATTAGAAAGACAGTGAAGCAAAATGAACACAATTTAAGCAGAAGTAAGGCAAGTATTTTCTTGTTCTTACTCAACACCATTTATCTTATTTCTTTTGATGATAATCTCTTTTCATTGCAACTGGAAAATGAAAAATGAAAAGAAACACTTTTTAGCGCATCTGGCCTGATGACTCTGGCAACTGCATGAAAAGGACTTGGTTATAGGGCAAGATACAGTTTCCTATCTGAATTCTGGAAGGTTAGGTAGTAGTACCTATTCATTCCTGACTTGTTTTAATATACAGATTTCCTTAATACAGTGACTCATACGTAGGTAATCTTTATGGGCTCTGGCACAGCCTGGTGTGCTGGAGACTTTGAGCTTCCTGCTTAGCCTCTCTGTGCTTCAATTTTTATAGCTAAATAAAAACACTCTATGTTTTTAAGAGTACTATGGGCATTAATATATGTTAAGTGCTAAGGACAGAACCTGGAATGTGTAAACCACCTGTAAATGTTCACTGTTACTTTACTATTTTTAGGGATTTTAAGAAAATAACCTCAATTACTAGATACAGTATATGAAGTTTCCAGTCAGTGTCTAAATGCAGCATGCATGAGAGGTATATAGTGTACCTGTATATAGTTTACCTGCTCTAACCGATCCAAATCATCTTCATCATACAGGTGCATGTCCAAACCAGGCTTAAACCCCTTCTTTGAAGCGCTTCCTGACACCTGTCCCAATTCCATTGGACAAACATATTCTTCACCATCTTCCTGCTTCTTCTTTCTCAGATTCCCAAAATTGCTGAAGGTAAGTTTCTTTGGCTTTAAAAGCAAAAACACCCATGGATTGGATTAACTTCATATGACAAAGGACCTATGACATGTGTAATTAAATTATACACCCCACCACACAGAGAAACTGAATGATTAAATCTGCATAACAAAAACAAAGGCATCCAGTCATATGATGCATCCAAATATAAATGATCCTAGTTATGAAAGAATAACTATTAATCTTATTCTTCTTATTCACACAAACTAGCTGGATAGCCACTGTGATAAATTATGCTAAGACCCTTTGGTTTGATTAGACAAGACTTAATGCAATAGGATTTCTCATACTGAATCCAATTTTGAAGGTTTGTTCAGTCTAAAATAAGCAATTTTGTATATCTGTGCTGCTTCTACCGCAGCACTGGTAACAGGTAAAAGCATTCTCACTCTTTTAGAAAGACAATTTTAGTGATCATAGATGAGAGACTCCATTTTAGCCACTGAATAGGTCCTGAGATTATCAGGATGACTGAGAATTTAAGCAGAACATACTTTCTAAAGGCTTCCAATCTGGCATGTCTTTTAAAGGGATTCAAAGCCAGACAGAGGGGAATAAACAAGAAAAGAAACAAAAAGAACTTGGCACATATTTCTGGGAGAACTGATAAGCTCCACCTCCATACTAGAGTGGTTGAGATAGTATACTGAGAAGAGTTAAGATACAAATTATTTATTTATTCAGGTTTTTTTTTTTTTTAAGAGTCAGGGTCGCATTTATGTAGTTCAGGCCGGACTTCAACTCACTATGTAGCCCAGGCTAGCCTGGAACTCGTGGTGATCCTCCTGGCTTGGCTTCCCAAGTGTACTACCACGCCTGGCCAACAAATAAATTTAAAAGAAAAAAAAATAGTCTGAATCTGGTATAATCCACAAATCTATTAGAGAATGGATACCTAGTCTATCTTTTTCACTCTTTTTTTTTTTTTGGTTTTTCTCCGGTACCAGGAACCGAACTCACGACCTTGCGCTTGCCAGGCAAGCGCTTTTGCCGCTGAGCTAAACCCCCAGCCCCTACCTAGTCTATCTTAAAGCATTTCTTAAGTATTTTCATCTAACTTATAAGGCTATCCAATTATAAGCCAGAAAAGTGGAATCTGTATAAGAGAAATCTTCTTCTTTTTTCTACAGGAAACACAGAACTGCAGCCAGTATTTGGGCCCAAAGGAGTCTCTCTGCAGTGACAGTGCATCAGCTATAGAAGCCAACATCCTGCTCTTTACTATCAATACTAACAGGGTAAGTCAAGTAACAGAAACCTTCAAATATGGATTGTCTTAATTACTCTTGAAAATATACATATTTTAGCCGAGTATGGTGACACATACTTGTAATTCTAGCACTTGGAAGGCTATGCAGGATGATTGTTGTGTGTTTGAGGCCAACCTGAGCTACACAGTGAGTTCAAGGTCAGCCTGAACTACACAGTGGGACACTGTCAAAAAACAAAAACGACAAAATATAAACACTTTGACCACCCGTAAACACAATAAACCCCAGGGAAAGAGAGTAACAGGTACTAGTCAAAACTGGGCTGTTGCTTCAGGCATCTTATTAGGTGGTACCAGCTTGAACCCACCTTCACTTTGGCAGTAGCTGTTAAAAGTACATAATCTGGTAACTCCATGGCATCTCGCTTCTGGTGTTGGGCCTCAGCACCAATCAGAAGGTTGAAATGAGTGGCCAAATGTCTTCGCAACAAGGTCTTATTTGGTGGAATATTCAATAACTGAGCCATTGTTTCTACATTAAAACGAGGTTCTAATACCTGTAATAAAAAGGTTGAAAGGTATCACAGATCATACATGTTTGCACTGTACCTTACAATTTGCAAAGACTCTCTCATTTGGGTTATCTCCAATGATTCTCTTAACAGCCCCAGGAGGCAGACAGGGAATAGACTTTGATCTTTAATTTTCAAAGTGGTAGAGCTGGTCCTGTAATCTACGCTTCTGGTTTTGCAATGCTTACACTTCTGACTCTTTGGAGTGCTGCCTCTGGAAGCCAACTCGTTATGCAACATCAATGTGCAAAAATACAACCTGTGTAATTGCTGGGGTTTTAAATGATGGTCGTGGGAGATACAGATGCTATTCAACATCAAAGAAGACAATACAGGAGAAGTGGATTTAAATCTGATGTACAGTTTTATAAAATGAAAGTCTCTGAAAGTAAAGATTTACTACAAATAGAGTAGGAGGGTTAGATGAGATGACAGGATGATGACACGCAAACTGGTACAGAGTATCTCCCTTATCCAAAATGCTTGGTCCTAAGAGTGTTTTAGATTTGTGATTTCTTTTCAGATTCTGGAATATTTTCACATATACAATGAAGACTCTGGGATGAGATGCAAGCCTGAACATGAAATTCATTTGTGTTTCATATATATAACCTCATAATAATTTTATATAACATTTTTAGTACTTGCATTTTGACTGCAACTCACTATATGAAGTTTGGTGTTGAATGTTTCACTTGTAGATTTTGCTCAACCTAAAATATCCTATTCATTAGAGTAAAGGAAACAAAACAAGAAGCCAATGTAAAATTGAAGCAGAGTTTTACCATGAGTCCACCATGGACCCCACTGCCCCTGAGATTGGGGGCATATTCCGCCAAGTCCACAGAGCGCAGCCACTCCATCACACGGTGGTTGGTCCATTGCTGCACTTCAGATGGGGTAATACTACTCTGTGGGAACAAACAACCACCATGAGCTTTGGCTGTTGGTGACAGGATACCCCAAATCAAATATGCATGTGCAGCATAAGAAGTCTGCCCCATAGAGCACTACTACTTGACATCTCACTAAATGTTTTATTTTTTGAGACAGGGTCTTGCTATGTAGTTCAGGATGGCCTTGAACTCACTATGGAGCCCAGGGTAGCCTTGAAGTCACTGCACTCCCCCTGCCTCAGCCTCCTAAATGCTGGGATTATAGGCATGTGTACCATGCCTGGCTCCCATGTTATTAAAGAAAACATGTTACTTTGAATTGTCTTTTAAAGAATTTATATCATAGAGTTTCAAGTCTTCCAACATACTAAGAAGAAAAAGGAAAAGTTTTTATAGTAATATTCAGCTCTGTGGATTAAGAAGACAGGAAACAAAAATATACCTACAAAAAGTAAAAAACAACCTTTTGCTTCAACTACACAGTAGAACCATCATGGGGGCCAAAAAAGTAGAGGAATACAGGAAAACAAAGCCTAAGAAATAAATGAGGCTGGATTCAGGTTCTAAAGAGACTGTCTTTCCCTTCAGGCTCCAAGAAGAAATGGGGTTTTAGGGGTTTTTTTGAGACAGGGTCTCATTATGCAGTTCAGGGTGACCTTGAACTCACTGTGTAAAAGAGGTTAGCCTTGGACTTGTGTCGATTCTCTTGCCTCAGCCTCCTAAGTGCTGGGATTATAGGAATAGGTCACCACGCCCGGCTGAGTCTTAGTTTTGTATACAGAGTCACATACATGAAAAATGGAAGCTTATAGACCTCTGTCTGAAATGCTACCTCATCAGATGGCCGCCTCCGTAGACAGTTTGGTTCAAAGTTATTGATCCTTAGAACTTGGATGGCCCTTTTGATACTGAGATGGTGCAGTACACTCACAACCTTCAAAGACAGTAGGTCATCCTGCAAAATAGAACAGAAAGAAGCAGTCATTGTGCTGTCCTACAGCAATGGGCTCTTCCTAGGGAAATTACAAAACACTGCAATAAAAGTAGAAAAGCCACTAAAAACAGTATGCTTCATGAGATTGTTAGGGATTTCAAAGCTTTTCTTTGGTAACAGAATCCCCTTTTCCTGCTCTCAACAAAATCCTCTCAGGACTCTAAATAAAAGTTGTTCCCGACAAAGCTCATTGCCAACTGCTTTTCTTCCAGATGATCTGACAGGAGAATGGAATCCCAGGGCTCTGACAAACAGTGTGAAAAGCACTTGGTGGATCACTACAAATGACAATCTATTTTTTGTTCCCTGTTGGTGTTAGTGCTTGCTAAGCATGTGCTCCACCACTGAGGTACCCTACCAGCCAAATGTGTTTCAATTTGCACATACCACAAACAAAGGAATTTCTTTGTTCCCTTCTTGGATTTCAGAACTTTGTCTACAGGTAAAGCAGATACTTGTGCACAATTAAAGACATGGGCTACACTGCTCTTTTTGTTTTCAGCCCATAGCTACCATGAGAGCCAATGATGTTCATTAATCATCATGGTTTGGTTTTCCGTACTGAGGCATATCATAAGAAAAATCAAGAGTGCCCTTGTTAAGACTATTCCCCGGCCTTAAGAGTTCTGTGGTTCTAGATCATTATACTTTCCTCAGCACACTGTGACCAATTTTGGAAAAAGTCAGGTTTTGCTGAGAGTAAAAAAGAAAAGATGCAATTGTAAGTATCAACATATATCACTAATCAGTCCTTTAAGGAAAAACTTTGTGTGGCTACTGGGAACATTTCCAAATATATCAAACACACCCAAACAAATTACTTCAGAAGAAGGTGATTTGAGTGGGGGAGCAGTGTCAAGATAGGCACCAGTCTATTTCTACACACTCCCAGAAAACAAACAAGGAAACATCTATTGTAGGCACATTGATAACACATTTCTTATTGAAGAAAGGAGGAGGAGGAGGAGAAATGAACAGAATGTAAAAATATTTTTAAAATATATTAGACAACAGTTGAAATCGCCAACATTCCTAACTGGCTACTATCTTACTCCTCCAATTCCAGGCTGAATCACTTACAACAGTCATATAATGCAACATTCGACCATCGACTCGTCCTTCATCAAACTGGGTCTTATACTGGGGAAGGCCAATATCATCCAACCACCCTAAAAGAGACAAAGCCGTAAAATTACCATGCCCAAAACACCTTCTGTGATGAAAAAGGAAAGACAGCAATATTTACTGTTATTATTTTTAAGAATAAAAGCTTCTTACTAGTGACCCAGTTGAAATCCAGCTTTCCATGATTGGTTTCTTCTTCAGATCCTAGGGCTTGCAATGCCAGCTGGAGTTTCTTTCGATGAAGTGAATGCCTGATTCCAAGTTCCTGATGTGATAAACAGAAATGCTGATCTTATAATTCTATCTGTATGGGCTGCATGCACTGAGAAAAGAATGGAAACTCCTCCAAAATGAAGCTAGCATTGAAAATCCAACTCTACATTAAATTAGAATACTAATTGGGGCTCATAAAATGTTACTGAGTAAGATATCTCTAGAGATCTAAGACTACCACAGTGCATTCAGTGGTGTGTCAGACATTTTCAAGTGATTCATTTTCTTTGTAATATAAGACTTGTAGTATGTATAGTAAGAATTTTACTCTTAGTTTGTGCAAAATGTTAAATGACTGGGACATAAAATATACGGTGCTTTTTTCCTTTTTCAAAATAAAGTTGAACACACATTTCTCAGACAAGGAGATACAAACGGCAAATAAATATATGAGAAAATGTTCAACATCATTAGTCATTCGAGAAATGCAAATTAAAACAACACTAAGATTCCACCTTACCCCAGTAAGAATGGCTAGCATTAAGAAATCAACCAATAACAAATGCTGGCGAGGCTGTGGAGAAATAGGAACCCTTCTCCACTGCTGGTGGGAATGCAGACTGGTGAAACCACTGTGGAAATCAGTTTGGAGATTCCTCCGAAAACTAGGTTTAGAGGTCCCATTCAACCCAGCTATCCCCCTGCTGGGTATTTTCCCAGAAGATCTAAAAACATCATATCACAGTGATATATGTGCACCTATGTTCATAGCAGCACAATTTGTAATTGCTAAAATGTGGAAGCAACCCAAATGTCCATCCACCGAGGATTGGATAAGAAAATTATGGTACTTTTATATAATGGAATATTACTCAGCTGTAAAGAAAGATAAACTCGAGGCCTTTATATTTAAATGGTCACAACTAGAGACCATACTCATAAGTGAAATAAATCAAACATACATGTGCAAGCACCGCATTGTGTCACTAGTGTAAAACTTGAAAGAGTTAATTTAAACTCGGAGGTATGATAGACACTGTGAAATGATAGGAAACCACCGAAGAGTAAAGGGCTTCTGGGATGTGGGAAAAGAGAAGGGAAAGAAGGAAAAATTTTGTATGTATGTATATACAGGATAGATAACATGGTTGTTCTTCTATCTGCTATTTCTATGCTGAAACAAACTGTCAATGAGTCTTTGGTTGACCAGTATTGCATGTCTATATCTGTTTTCATGAGAAGCCACTTTGAAGATATCAATATGTAATACAACCACCATTGTTAATTCCCTACCACTTTGTTTGTAACTCTGTATTGTCTGTATTGTGCTTGTGATATGTTGTAAAATGTTGTATGTCTGTTAATGTTTCCCTCCTTTTATCCTTAAAATAAAAAAAAAAAAAAAAAAAAAAAAGAATTCAGCAAATCATCAAGAAGGTTATACACCATGACCAAATGGGATTCATCCCAGGGATGCAGGGATGTTTTACTATATGCAAATCAATTAATCTGATATACCATATCAACAGAACCAAAGAAAAAAACATGTGATCATGTCAATAGATGCAGAAACAGCTTTTGACAAAGTCCAACACTCATTCATGATAAAAATCCTACAGAAAATAGGAATCGATGGTCTTTACCTCAATCTAATAAAGCTATCTATGAAAAAAAAAAAAAAAAAAAATAAAGTTGAAATGTAATTTTATATTGAAATATAACTCAATAATGTTATAAAATGATTTTGAGAAATATGAACTTAAGGTTTATTTTTATGGCTATATAATTATTTATTAAAATGTTTAATGGTTCAAGTATTCCATAAAAAAGTCATCAAGATGAAACCCTTCAAGTGTGTAAGGCAAAACAAGCAAGAAACAGTTGAAAACTACTCTTCCAAGAGTCTGTAACAGTGACTACCCATGCTCCTTTCTGGAATAAAACACAATCCCACATTCCTGTTTTCTTTCTCTTAGTATTTGGTAAAGGAAGAAACAGTCACCTTCTCTAAATCTTGTTGAGAAGCCTGCAAAAGGGTTTGGCCAGATGCAATCCAGTGCTTGCCAGAATTCAGGTAGGACCCCAACCCTTGCTCCACCAGCCAGGTACAAACTTGTTCCTTTGTCCATTTGGCAAAAGGCATATCCAAGTCACTATAGGAAAATGAATGACTACATGAGAAACAATTTAAAGCCAACTGCATGGCTTACCATTAGTTTTGAACAACAGTACATTTAATAGACACGGAAATTCCCTGACGAATACCTCTTTGGCCATGAAAAGTTTAATTTTTAGTGCATATTTGCAGGAGGAAATACTAGAGTTTAAAGTTATGTTTGAATACCACTGTCTTTGTTTCAAGTGAAACTGCAAAAGATTCAATGTGATTTAGCAAGAATGTGTCATGTACCTGTGCCAACTACACATGAGGAATGCAAACTTTATCTACTGCAAATATGTACCAAAGAAAAGGAAGGGCCATCAAGTGATGGGTGGAGAGGGGAGTATGAAAAAAGGAATTGAGATGTGTTATGTACCTGTACCAACTCCTCACAAGGAATGTAAACACTATGTAGTGTACACATGTAATAAAAAATGTAAATCTAAAAAAGACTAAATTAAAAATAACATACAACAAATATGTTGTACAGTAAAACATTGAATTGAACCAATATCTGAACCAATTTCAACTAATGGGGTTGAAAAATTAGATTCCCAAACACTAAACACCCAGTAGCACTGAAAGAAACTCAAATCTACCTTGAAATAACTTTGGCAGAATTGTGGTTTCTTTGAACTGATAATCAATGAGAAGAGGACACTATGCTGTAAATGTAGGAAAGAGTAATCAAAACAATTTTTGTTTTCTTTTACTTAGATGCACAGACACTGTAGTACTCTGATATGAAAAATAAATGTGAGGAAGAACACAACTCTTCTCTTTTTTTATGGTAGCATAGGGAAGTCCTTCAGTTTGTTCAAAGAGAACATAGGGCAAGTGGGAACATTCAGTATCTGAGAGAAGGCCAAAGAAAGACTCCTCCTTGATGAAAGCTGCATCCAGTGCTCCACCTGTGTGGGAAGGACTGTGCAGGGAAGGGCTCAGCCCATTACATTTTATCAGATTTTGTATCAACACTTTGCACTGTATGTTTGCCAACCCCACCCTTTCATCTCAGTAGATGAGAATATTGATTCCAAATCAGCTCTATGCTTTGATAAGGGTATACAAAAAGATTTTATTGTCTTAATGCGGAAAACATTATGTCTAAGAACTGATAGAATTTATGTCTTTCAGTGTTTTTAGACTCCATTAATCTTTAATGTTTAGTGAACAGTTATTATTTGCCAGCCACTTAACACATAATAACCCATTTAATCTTCATAATCACCTTTTGGGATAGGTACACACTAATTATGAGGACGACAACGATGACGAAAAAACTGAGACATGGGAGTCATTGCTCAGGATCACCCAGCTGGTATGAAGTAGGAAGACCAGGCACCAAATCCAAGACGTCTTTCTAGAATGTACTTTTTTGGGGGTTGTTTGTTTGTATGGTGCTAGAGACTGAATGCAAGTGCTCTCCCACTAAGCTATATCACCAGGCCCTAGGACCCACTTTGAACCACTATGTAATCCCACCTTTCCAAGGCTATGCTTTTGAATACTTAATTGCTACCTACGTAAAGTGTAAGTCCAAGAGTCATCGTAGTACAGATGTTGCTGACACTGACACTCAGCTCTGGCTCTGTACCTATCTCACCAGGGCTCAGTTTCTGTGCAGTTATCATTAACCACTGACAAACTGCACCACGCTAAAAAGGATCGGCCCTTCCTTTAGACATGGTAGTTACGCCATGACTTTAATTAACTCAGTGACTAACACTGCAGGTATTCACAGCCTTGACACCTCAGCAGAGATGTTGCAGTCCATTCACTTGGTTGTTCTTACCTGTTAGTCTGTCCCAGATCACGAGACCAGCCAAGTCGAGGACCTGCAGTTGCCCTTGTCCCTCCTCTTTTGAATTCAGGCTCAGACATGTCTTCTGGGTTAAATGTAGTTGACTGACTTCTTCTAAGTCTGAAAAAGACACAGCACACATGGCCATGATGAAACCTGAGGCAGCCTTAGACTTTAAAATTAACCAGAATGTTTTAAACTGGTATGTACATTGAGTTATTCCTCTTTGGATGTAGTTAACACAGATATATGAATTTAAATTCCAAGATCTAGTGAATTAATGGATCCCAAATCACAATTTTCCTTCCATAAGAGAACACAAAAACCTTACCATTTCATGCCCATTTTCTGTCAATTTCCCCTTTGTCCCTACATTTGAGCAACATGTAACACAAGACTGACTCTACTTGTTTACTCTTTTACTTACTTTCCAAAGAGTCTCATAATACCTCTGGATTTCTTTCTGGAATCTGGAGACAGTGGAGACATCTGGAAGGTACTGTTTCCTTGTGGATCTCTGGGCTGAGAAGATGCACCAGCTAGATTCAGGGGCTCTGCTGTCTCTTTTTCTGTTTCAGCTATTCCAAGATAGAATAAAGACTTGATGAATTTTAAGCATATGAAATGAACATGATCAGATTTTAACTTTCTTGGTTTCTGCAACTGTTAAGAATTCTCCTGTCGGTCTATAAGTCAGTGATTTACAGAGAATACACTGTAAATATGAAACTAGAATGTAAATATACTTTCTAGTTTACTCTTTTGTCTATAAAGACAAGTAAAAATCACAATTTTGAGATTAAATGTTTAATAGGATAGCCACATTTTTTCCTTGTGTGATCTGATTTCATAATGAAGTTACTCTCCTCAGTGGCAAAAGCACCTGCCTGGCAAGCATAAGATCCTGAGTTCGATTCCTGGTACTAAGAAAAAAAAAAAAAAGAAAAAAGAAATTACTCTTAATCTCTCTGTACTACTTGGTACTGCTGAGTACCTCCTACCATCTTTAAAATTACCATCTCCCTTCATTTCTGTCATGACACTCTCCTAGATCTGTCCCTTGACAGTTTTTTCCCGGCTGTGGCAACCCTGTTTTTTTCTCTCCTCCATTCCACGCTAAGATTGTAATGATCTCTTAAAAAGCTTACCCACTCTAAACTCAGCACTAAATGATGGCTCTACTCATTGTAGGGAGGTGGTATCAAAATCCCTGGACCTAATCTCTCTTCTCAGCCTCATATCTGAATGTCTGTCATACTGTAAGTTCAATGTGCTGGGGTATCTTGGACTCAACTAACCCATACAATTTTTCTGAATGTCTCCTTTCTCAAATTATTTGATTTGATTTGATATTTAATTAGAATAGTATCCCTGTTATTTTAGTTCAAACTGTCATTTCTTTTTACCTATTCTTCTCCTTTGTCATTTAGAGAATCTGTTATCAAGTACTAGGATTTCTTTGAGAAATTTATCCTAACCTATTATTTCCTAGGCACTGGGAAAGCAATAAACTGGGTAAGTATAAGTTTTTCTCTTGACATAAAATTAGTACCTCTTGATTTTGCCTTAAAAAGAAAAAAAATCACGTTTGCTATTGCTAGATCTCCAAAGATGAACTATTTTATTCTATATCTCTTAGTGGTTTCCTCAATATAAGCTTTTACACTTTATATAGAAAAGTAAAAGCTGTGCAAATATCTCAGGAACAGTGTTTTAGCAAAATATACAGGTTGTAGAAGTTCACTTTTCTATGAAGCAGGGCTGTGATTATAGGTTATAGTAAGCAGCATTTGCCTTTAAGCACTAACAATACAAATTCTTCTAAGAAAGATACGGAAAACTATTTGAAATAGTTGTCTGAAAAGGTCAGTTTATGTATGCAGCATTCACTCTAGACATTTAAGGTTACACAGGGAGAACGTCATCTCTGCTGGTTCATGTGAGCAGATAGGTGGGCACTTATGTACAGTGACAGCACCTATTAGGACAAGCCAAGGGACTCCACCCATCCCATTCACAGGTAACAGCCTAAATGGGTATGAGTGCCCTTGAAAATGTTGCACAGCCCACTCTCATTTATGAAAAATCACTGGTTTTTCTTCTTTCTGTACGCTGTACTACAAAGAAAAAAACTGAGTTCCTCCTCTCCAAAAATCACTAAGGGTAACTCCTCTGATAATATGTAAAGTTACCTCTGTCATAACTAAGTATTATCTCAATCTTCAAAGCAATAAAATGTCAAAAGACTGTTCTCCTAATAGAACTTAAGTCTAAAGTTATCATCTTCAGAGTCTTCTACAACTTTCTTACCTGACTAAAAACATTTCTTTTTGGAGGCTAGGAAAAATGTACCCATGGAGAAGGGACTGTAAGGGTCTGAAAGTTCGTGTGTGATGATATGTACATCAAAGGCAAGAGCTGGCAGTACAATGCCAGGACATTCCTGCTCTGTTCTCTGTGGGCTGCCAGGACTCCTAAGAGCTATTCAACAGCATTGAGTAGATGCTGTTGACCTCTAAGAGATGTCAACAGCATTGGTTAATATATTATATAGGCTTGGAAGCAAAGGTTCTATGGAGTCCTTTTTTAGTAGAAGATGGAAAGAACACTCTGGAATAGAGAACTACATTTTCTGATTGCTGCCAGCTTGCTTTCGAAAGATCACAGAGGCCAAGCGCAGGATTAGATGAGCTTGGAGCACAGTGCTAGTGAAGGCTGGCATGCAGGGTACAATACCTAGGGTGGGTGCACTGGCACTTCGATTACGATCTTCAGATATCCCAACAACGCACACAATCACATGCAGCCCAATGGAGAGAACAAAAGGGGATGACAAAATGAAACAAAGATCAGAAACTCTTCCTCAAGAAACACACACAGTGGAGGAAAGGCAGGCACTGTGCTCCTGAGACTGCACAGAGACTCCACCAGGGCTGTGCACAGGGGCTCAACTGAGGCACTATCAAAACAGATGGGAAACTGTCTATAATGGAGACAAAGAGAATCACAGCTTTAGGTCTTTCCACTCTATACCCCAGGACAGAGCTTGACAGAGGCGATTTATCTTCACAGTGCTAAATTAAATCCACTGAAGCCTTTTTGCTTACTTTTCAACCAAGTCATTCACCTTCATCTCTGAGAAAAAGAAATGTATACATAAATGAACAAAGGAAGGGAAGAGGTTGATCTTTTCCCTTTTCTAAAAGATCAGGCCACACGTACCCAAGTTTGGTGCACTTGCTGTCCTCTTGTTACTTTTGATTTTAAAAAAGCCCCGACCAAAGGAAGACCTGGCTTTTCGAGTGCCAAAAGCATTGTCATCCACAGAGGCCTCATGTCCTGGTGCTTTAGGAGGGAGGCTACCAAACATGCTGTTTCCTCCTGGAGCTTTATCCTGAGAGAGAGTGACAATGATGCAGCAGAGCATTAATGTGCATAGTCATCAGGACACCAGGCTCACACTAAACATCAGATCATGTTACACAGATAACTCTGTTTAAAACAGTAACTGTTGTAACACATTATCAATCCTAAATGCCATAAATTTAAAAAAATGCATTCTAAAAATGTTTTTAAAAAAACAGCAACAACATAAACATGTCCATCACTAATCTATAATCTCTGTATTTAGGGCTTTAAATATTTAAGACAGATAAAAGTCCTCAAACTTTATTTGCCACATTCCTCAAAAGACATGGATTAAAGATATAGCTAGTAATAGCAGATTCCTCACTTTTCTAGCATCACGATACAGAACTAACTATAATACAATTCACATTCTTGTATTATAACTACATCAACAGAAGCTTAATGTAATTCTGCAAAGCAGGCATGAGCCCAAGCTTTTATATTCGCAAGATAAGGAGATTCTATTCCAGTTATTTTAAATATTCTTCTCAAAGAATAATAAAATGAAGGTACAACAAGCAGCTGTGTATTTTGGTTATGTGAATTAGCAATTATAGGGTTATAGTATATTATATTGTTTTAATATTACCCAAAGATAGTTTTTATTGCAGGTTCTCATTTCTCTAATATCTCTTGCTTTTTTTTTTTTCCCTGAGATACAGCCTTGTTTTATAGGTCAGGCTGGCCTTGAGCTCACTATGTAGCCCAGGCTGGCCTCAAACTTATTATGGTGACCCTCTTGCCTCAGTCTTCTCCTAACTGCTGGGACTATAGGCGTGTGCCACCATGCCCAGCTTTCTCTTGTTTTCTGTTTCTTTTGCCAACAGTGAGAAAAAGGTGAGGGGGAAAAGCCATTTAGAGGGGTGATTTTACTCTAAATACCTACTGCTCATAGTAACTGAAAGTTGATAGTACACTATAGTGGTCTTATTATCTATGTCTCAATAATGATGTCAAAGTCCTTTATCCATTTATTGAACTGACAAAACAAAAAGGACTTTAATGATAGTTGTTTCCAGCATTCTTGGTTCTGTTTACATGACACAAGGGCTGAGAATCAAAAAGGTTGTGCCTCAAAGTAGCCTGTCTACCTGACTAGCACATTTTCAAGGTCATGAATGAAAGTCTTGGAAAAAAAAGAAGTATGCTGATGAGGTCCTTAAAAATACCAAGGCATTTGCCTCCGACAGACAGTGGTTGTATAAAATAAACTACTAGTCATCTACGGTAAGAAGGGCTTTTTGTGAAGCCTACGGAACCCTAGTTGTGGTCATTCAGAACACTCTGTAGCATGACTGTGAGTTCATGGTCTTGTTTTTTTAATAACTGATTGAGATGATATTGACATAAAATTAACTATTTAAAGTAGACAATTTAGTGGCATTTAGTACATTCAAAATGTTGTGCAACTACTACCTCTATCTAGTTCCAGAGTGTCTGCATCATTCTAAAGTAAAACCCACACTATTACACATTCTCTCCTTGCGCAACTGGCAACCACCAGTCTGCATTCTCTATGGTCTTATCTACTCTGGAAAGAAATGGTGTTGTATAACATGTGACTTTTGTGTTTCACTTCTTTGATTTAGCATAATGTTTTGGTGGGTCTGAAACTGTTCGACTACTAGAGATATTTAAGCAATTTACATGTAATAGAAGCAAAAAATATTTTATATTTTAATTTGGATATTAAAGTTACCTCTGAAGGCTTCTGAATAGACTCCTTTTCCTGTTTAAAACAACAACAATATTTAACATTGTTACAGGACTCCTTTGTATGCTCAGAATTTGCCACATACACTTCCAAAAATAAGAAAAAAATTGCATTACTTCTAAGCTACAAAAGCTTAGTTTCACTTATTTCCTACTTTATTTTTTTGTTTTATTAAAGCCTCTATTTTTGGTTTTATGTAATATTTTCAATATTTTATATTCATACTTAATATTTATCGTTAACCATACCATGGTAGCTAATAATTTTTCATTAAAGAAACCACAAGCTCTTCCTGTGAGTTTTATTTGCAAAATGGGAAAAGTTGAAGATCCTTAAATATTTCTTTCTTAGATTAAAAGAAAAAAAAAAAAAAAAAAAAAAACAAGAAAAATATAGAACCAACCCCATCTGATGTCTCTTTCTTCAGATTGCCCAGACTGCTGGATTTTTGCAGACTTGAAGTTCTAAAAATAATAATGATAATTAGGATTAATAATAAGTGGCTCTGGTGTATCTATTTTTAAGTGGAGCATCTTAGAAAGAAACTAAATTGTATGTGGGTTGAATCCTGGCAATAAAAGAAAAATCTGGAATCATGCAGTCACTATGTGCTTAACTAAATTATATTATTTAGTTCTTTTAAAAGTAATGGTGGTTAATTGTCCTGCCAATAACGTAATAACCCACAAGTTAAAATAACTGGAAAAACACTTACAACTGTCCCTGTGATGTCAATATTTGAAAATAAACCAGTGATTTTGATGGACTACTGATATATCTGTCCATATACACATTTATATCAGAAAGTTTAAATACTTTTATATTCCTTATATCTACTTATAATTAAAAAAAGAAAGAAGGTTTTACTTTTCAATTTACAGAGGGGTGTCAGGATGGCTGAGTGGTCTAAGGTACCAGACTCAATTCACAGAAATCTGAGTCTGAATCTGGTAAAACAATTCATTTGCATAACAGAGGAATTCATATTGCTGCTCATGATCATTCATTTGCTAGTATAAATATCCAGAGATACTCTCTTTCACATAATTAGCATTCAGCTATATACAGATCCTGAGATAGTCTTCCTGAAAAATTGAAGTCAGGAATATGCGGCCAATTTAAAAAGACAAAGAAGGTTGGTGATATAGCTCAGTGGTAAAGCAAATGTTAAGCAAATGTAAAGCCTTTGATTTGATCCACAGCATCACAGATACAGTGACAGATGATAGATAATAAATACACAAACATCTAAAACAGATTTCTCCCAGATTTACATTTATAATAAGTTGCTAGAAAGTGTCTACTATTAAATAAAGTATAGTGAAAAAAAGAAATGATCTCATCTTTGAGTACTGGTCTGAAAAGTTTCCTAATTTTAACCAGACTTTAACTTGGATAGACATTCAAATTATGTCAGTTTATTAAACTGAAAGTACAGGAAAAAAACCAACAAATTCAGCTTTTCAGCCACCATATAATTCTCTGGGATTCTTTCTGCTGGAATAAAAAATGTAAATCAAGCTGGGTGTCGTGGCATACACGCCTGTAATCCCAGCACTCTAGGAGGACCAGGCAAAAGGATCAAAAATTCCAGCCCTGCCCAGGAAATTTAGGGAGACCTTGTCTCAAATTAAAATATAAAAAAAGAGGTCTGTGGATATACCTCAGTTAAAAGGCCCTGGGTTCAACCCCCAGTACAGTTAAAAAAAATATTATATATCACATATGTGTATGCCGGTACAGAAATTAATTAAAGGCACTGAAACTCAAGTGAAAACCTGATGAAAGAAAGCTAAAGATCTGCAACTTGGCATGAGATAATAGTCGTTTTTTGGGGGGGTGATTAACTTACCACCCTCTATTCTTACACAGTCAGCTCAACTGCACCATAAAATTGAAGTTATTCATTACTTGAATAGCTTCACTCAAAGAGACCCTCTTTTTTCTCAAGCTCTAATCACACTTTTTGTACTCAATAATGTATAACTTACAAAATACTGTCACCCAGCTGGGTTTCAACAGCAGCACCAAGGGTTATTTTTCCATCACTAAAGTGTTAAAAACAAAAAAAGATATTTATTAATGCCATGAATAAAAAACCATACAGATGCTCCTTGACTTACAATGGTGTTAAAAGTTTCGATAAATCCAACTTTAGTGGAAGATATCACCAAGTCAAAAAATGCATTTAGTGTGAGGTATAATCATAAAGGATGGTGAACGTTAAAATTAATTATTGCAATAGAAGACCCCTTGCCATTAATTCCCCTCAAAATACTCTCCCTTGCTTCCAACACACATATCCCATCATTCTTGCCACCCAGTGAAGTAGTTCTGGAAGTCCTCTTTTGAGCCTTTAGTTATGTTCTTATGGCTACCTCAAAGTTTTGAACTGACTCAATGTGCATGGTCATTTTGACCTTGGGGAAGAGCTGGAAGTGGCGCGGTGTCAGATCCATTCAATAAAGAAAATGTGGACACACTGAAATGTTTTTACATGATAAAAACTGTCCTAAATGCTTTGAATTGATGCAGGACATTGAGGCAGACAAGATAGTTCAACTAAGGACACTCACAAAAAAGGACTTTCAGAACTGCTTCAGAAAGTGGAAAGAATGGTAAGCGTGTTCAAAGCAAGGGGAAATATAGTGAGAAGGATTAGTGGTAAAATGTGTCTTTTACTATAATAACTTCCAAATTTAAATATTTGTCAGATTTTTCTTTACACCTTATACACCTAATTTACCAAATGACATAAATTTGCCTATTTTTCTTTATATTTACTTAGAATGCTTATACTATAGCTGGGCAAAATTACGTAACACAAAGCCTATGTTATAATGAAGTGCTGAATATCTCAAGTAATTTATTGAATATTATCCTGAAGATAAAATCCCAGCACCATTGTAAAGTTGAAAATTGTTATGCTGAACCCCAGTAAGTTGGGCACTGTGCATATTCTAAGTGAACAAAATTGTCAAAACCAAAAAACATGTACAAAGGAAGCTATTTCTATTATTTAAAATTTTATTTATTTGGTCTAAAGTAAGTTTAGGCTATTAATTTGAAAACATGCTGATAAAAAAAAAAACTCACCTATGGAGAAACTACTATATCACTTTTCTATTTCCTTCATAGTCATCTTTCAGACGGCTTTGTGGCACATGGTTGTTACTATCCTGCTACTGCCCTTTGATGGCCACCTACGACCTAGGAAGTAAAATCCAAGTTCTTTGAAACCCCCCTCTAACCTGACTACCTGGCCTCCCCAGGATCAGGTCCCAATACTTCCTACTTCACACTTTCTATTACAATAATATACAATGATCACAGGTTCCCACACACATGCCTTCCTGTTTCTTCTTTGCTTGGTAGAAGCTTTGGCTGTAAGTAAGTGCAAAGTAAATTTCTTTTGGTTGTTTGACTTTTTTGAAAATTTATTGCAGTGTCAGACTGTGAATAACGTACTTCTCTTCAAATGAAGTCTCTGGCTTAGGAGGCAACTTTGATTTTTCAGCAGTTTCCACGCCTATGGATGCTGGCAATAATGAAGGGATTGAAACTTGCAAGATGTTGGTATGGAGCTGCAATATAATTATAAAAGTAAAAACAAAACCCAAAACAAAACAACCAAAAAGCCACACAAACACAAAACAAGCAAAACATAAAGTAAATATAAATAAATGACACCTGCCTTAAAGCGGTGCAATGATTTAACACTAAAGCTGAGTATAATATTTTGTGAACAAACACTATTTAATTAATTTCTACCACTAGTCTTGTATGAAAAACTGATCTGGCTAGTTAATATATTCTGTGTGAAGAAGCTGATTAATTTCAAAGAATAGAGTTGATAAAAAGTGTAATTAAAACCAATTTCAAAGTCCTTTGCAGTTACAACTTGAAACATTTTGTTTAGTGATAATATTACAGCAACAAATGAAATGCTTAACACATTTCTCTAAAATGCTTTGTGTATAGGTCTGCATTCTGTGAAAGAATTTTAATGCTTCAGGTGTTTCAATAATTTATGAAAACTGGAGAGCTGCTGAATTGTGGTCCACAAATAGTAAATCAAATACTTTAAAGCATATTTCAGTAAGAAAATCACCAGAAAGTAAACTGCACGTCAACTGATCAGTGACAACTCCTCACTTTTGAATTTGAGCCAGGTAAGGACTCATATGAGTGAACACATTTTTTTTTTTTTTTGTGGGGTGCTAGCGCAGGATTGAATCCAAGGTCTTCCCATTGAGCTGTACCTTCCATTCTTTAAAAAAAATTACTGGGAGACAGTTCTTGCTAAATTGCTCAGGCTGGGTTTGAACTTTTGATCCTCCTGCCTTGGCCTCCTGGAGTGTGAGCCACCACGTTAGACTCAGTGAACTAATTTTTTTGCGCCAACCAAGTAGCAGCAGTCTCAACTTAGTAACTATACACCTACAGCTATGGCCAACTTACTACTGCCTGTATGAGCTCCAAGTACCCTAAAAACTACATATTACCAACCTGAGGAGAATGTGCTTGCTGATAAAGCTTACTTGGTTAAGTAAGTAATGAATTCAGCTTTGTGATTTTTGTTTCAGTTACGTAGTCATTTTTTCCTTAGATACTCTAAAATTTTATAAAGGGGAGGTAGTTCAATGGTAGATCTCTTGCCTACCACAGGCAAAGCTGTGGGTTCATTCCCTGGCACCCCTCCAACAAAAGGATATCAAATATGAAAGCACAAGAAATGTGAAGTCTTATTATGAAATAGAATACATATTATTTTACTATTAGCTTTGTCAGCTTGAATCTTATAATAATTATTCTGGGACAAACTAGTCATAATGCCTGTTTCCTAAAGTTCATACATCTTTTTGGATTCCTAATCATGGGGAAAAAATAATTATACTAAAAGACTGACCCATTTTCTTGATTTCTTTTCCAAACTCTAAACCTTCATTTCTATTGCACATCTCTCTTCTGGCTTTTCTTTAAAAATGCAGTGGAACTCCCTCACTTCTCATGAAATCGTTTCTGTTCCAAAATATAAACCTATCATTAAACTGGAATTTACACAGCAAAAAGTCTTTTAAGAATATGAAGGGCCGGGGATATAGCTTGGTGGCATAAGTGCCTGCCTTTCAAGTGCAAAGTTCTGGGTTTGATTCCCAGTACCAAAAAAACCCCAGAAAAACCAAGAACAAAACTTACAAGAATATGGACTATCTGGGTGTGCTCTACACGTGACAGCAGCCTCTATACATGCAGTGCACTTATTGGTTGTCAAATGTTATTTTCCCCTTCAGTACAAATATAAATGCACTTTTAGTAAGTTGGGAATTTCCCCCTTTAAAGTATCTTTTATTCCTTAAACTTGTTTACTAAAATATCTTAGCCCTTTCTGACAAGAATTCTACATTCTTGTAATTATCAACAACAGATAAGAAAGAGTAATGATGCCCTGCCCTTTGGTCTCTTTTCACAGCCTATTGCAAAATGAGAGCAGAGATGACCAAAGTCACTGTTTAGTTGCATAAAACAGTATTTTCCATTTGTAGTCTCTCTACATAGTAATTTACAGTAGAATTAAGACATGACTTCAGGGCAAAGATCAAAGACAATGCCAGGAAACCATGTAGTCTCAGCGAAGTGGAGAGTTTGCCTGGTACAACCCTTTCTTTTGGGTTTTTGAGAATGCTCTTGAATTCAGTATGTAGCCCATGCTGACCTCAAACTCATAGCAATCCTACTTCTATAGCTTCTGGAGTGCTAGGATCTAAATCCTTTGTTTAGAGAGCGGAAAGATTGAGAGTAGTACTGTTACCATGAACCTTTAAAAAGACTAAAAGTAAGTGGCTGTGGTCTTACTTCTTGGCCAGGGAATCTAAGGCCAACAAAGGCTTACTATGAAGATATGTGTGGACATGCTCTTATCTAATGGAGTAGGTTACACGGGGATCCATATAAAATTCCACATATTGAAAGTATTATACCAAACCAGGTACAAAAGAGAAGAGATAGAATAAAATGAAAAGGTGGCTTTGAACCTCTATGGCATTTTTACACGCCCAAAGCTGAGGAAAATATTCATCTGCAAATAATTGGAGGAGAAGGAAAGAGGACTTGGAGGGAAGTACACAGGGCCCAGTGTGCTGGGACCCTTGTAAAGGAACTGGCAACACAGCCTGGCTTTGCTCAGGAATTGCTACAGACTAGGGGCACTTGACAGCTTTCAGTTTTCCTTCTTCTTTCCAGAAGTGCCTAAAGCAGTTATGTGATGTCTTTCCTAGCACTGTGCACTGGGTACGGGAGACAGATAATGTGTCCTTAAGTTTTACAGCTCTTTAAACTGATTGGAGTGATAGTCAAGAAACTGCCTGACAAACTGCACTTGAGCAACTTCACATACATCTTGTTCTAAACTGGATGACTGGCTCCTGGAAGGTTGGTGCCTCACTGGAATAAAATTTGGGGGTCTTTGGAGAGGAGCTGATTATATTTTTCATGGGACAGAGATGTAAACTGTTGCAGTCAAAGGATGGCATGGCACACTAATTTTTCCAAATATGGTTGCATCAGTCCATTCCACTGCTCAGGTTCTTACAATGTGGTGCAGCCACTTGTCCATTAAGAGGTAGGGTTGATGTCCCCTCTCCTTCAACCTGGGTCAGGCTATAACCTCAGCAGAAGGGATGTTATGTGACTTCTGAGGTAAGGCTAAAGGATGCCTGTCCTCTTGGACAGTTTGATGCAATATAAATGAGTTTAAGACTGCTTATTGCCCTCCAGTTTAAGTAAGCCAAGGGGAAATTATATTGTCATCTTTTGGAGTTACCACCAGAAATGACCAAAATATATTTACTTATATAATCTCATTTATTCCCATTTTATTTTCCTCTACCTATTTTTTAATAAATAGATTATAATCTTGTTTTAAGGTATGTACCTTGAAAGGATTTATGTTTTTTCTGAAATGACTTTTTAAAAAGGAGTCTAGCTACGTTCCCCAGGCTGACCTTGAACTCCTGGACTCAACTGATCTTCCTCCGAAATCTCCCAAGTAGCTGAGAGCATAGGTACATGCCACCACCATGCCCAGCTTGTTTTTCCTGAATTTTGTAAGGAATTTTGATATTGCTCAAATCATTTGTTAGAGAGAGGGAGACACTGCACATTTATAAAAGTGTTAAGGGAGTGAGTGAGGGAGAGACCTGGAGAACACAAAAACTGCCAGAACCAAATGGAAACTGAGAAAAAAAGCATGTGCTCGTATTATTAATGGTGTTTGAACTTTCACTGACACAGAGTCTTCAACAAGAAGAAAATACTGACATTCTGTACATACCTCTTCTGGAATACTTGTGTCGAGTGGGTCATGGCTGGGAGACTCCAATACTGGAGAAATCAATGGACTTCTCTCCAGATCACTAAAGCCCTGCGTATCCAACAAAGTGGGGATGGAACTGGAATTGAGCAGGTCTTCATATTCACCATCTTTGCCTAGAATACAATAAAGCAAAAAGAAGACAACAGTAGTTTTTTTAAATGTTTCTCTTCTGGAGGAAAATAAGAATTCTAATTACATTACACATAAAACATTTTCTTTTGGCCGGGTTGGTGGCACATGGCTATAATCCTAGCACTTAGAAGGTTGAGGCAGGAGGATCATTTTGAGTTTGAGGCCAGCATGAACTACATAGTGAAGCCCCGTCTCAAAAAAACCAAAAACCAAAAATCAAACCAAAGTAAAACAAAATCCCAAGCATTTTCTTTTTTGGAGGGGGTAGAGGGTGCTGGAAATTGAGCCTAGGGCCTAATACATGCTAACCATGTTTTCTAATTACTAACCTATACCCCAAGCCCACCAAAAGAGTCAACTTCTTCTGGTACCACTGGAAAACAGCAATGTTTCCAGTGGTACCAGAATGTACCACTGGAAACATGGTATTCATAAAGGAAGTTGGATTTGATAGGATCACTGACTCGCAAGATTGAAAATCACCTTAAAGGTAATTTATTCCAACAAAACCTCATGTAAATTTTAAAAATTGAGGGCTTTATAAATTTTAGTTTAGGAAAAGCCAAGCTGCAGAATACCTGGTACAACAAACTAATTCTGAGTAACAACAAAGTCACCATTTAGACACCTTATTTTTCATCAGTGCTCTGCTCTGGAAAATACATAAAAGGAAAATAGGAGACAAAAAAGGCAGATGACCTTTGATCCCTCAAAAAAAATCCTTTTATGGCTCTTAAAAGCAAAAGGAACAACCTACCACAGAGAAGCTACCATATATTCTGCAAAGCAGCGATTTTGAGAATTTTTTGTTTTACATCTGTAGAAATGACAAGGATTAACTTCCAAAGTCTTTTTTTAAAAAATAGAAACAGTGATTAAAACCTTTTTTATTGTTCGCTTTTATTGTTCAGACAGGGTTTTGCTATACAGTTAAGCCAGCTTTGAACTTGCTAGCCAAGGCTTGCCTCGAACTCGTCATCTTTCTGCCTCAGCCTCCTGAGTTCTGGGATTGTTGGTGCGTGTGACTATCTAATCTCTAAATAATGCTAAATGGTAAATCATAAACAGCGGTTCATGACCTTAATTCATTCTATGATTCTGGAGAAAATGGCTATGTTTACATCGGTTGTGTGCATCATCCAATGCAGTTTTTGCAAAATTTTGCTGAATGATTCTGTTCGAGAACCAAATTGTTTGCAAACAAAAGCACTCATGAACCAAAGAACCACTGTACTTGTTTAAAGATCTTAACCAGACATAAGTTTCTTTCTTTCGTTTCATCTTTATTTTTTATTAGTACATGTTTGCCATACATAATGATCACACTCACCATGGGAAATGTATACCTGTACATGATATATCTTAATTCTTTTTTTTCCCATTCCCTTCCCTGCTCCATTCAACCTTTCTTCCCCTCCCTATTTACGAAAACTCTGTTTCCATTTTTTTTCCTTCCATTCTTTTTTCTCTTTCTGAAACAGGGTCTCACTGTGCAGGTCAGCCTGGCCTTGAACTCAGTTATATAGCCCAGGCTGGCCTTGAACTCACAGCGATCCTCCTGCCTCAGCCTCGTGAGTGCTGGGATTACAGGCGTATGCCACTACGCCTGGCCATTCTCTCTCTAAAACCTCTTTTCTTTTCCCTCCCTTTCCTCTTTCTCTTGTTCCCCTTTCCTTTTGAACAAGTACTTCCTACTTCTCAATATCTAGCCTCTTTTTGACTCTTTATTTACAACTTTTGGTTTCTTGTACAAGAGAAATAATTTGATATTTAAACCTGTGTGACCAGACATAAATTTTTGATTGAGTGTTTATTAGAATTTTGTTCCAATTTTACTAGAATAGAATTTAGATGTTATTATAATTGTGGTTAGATTAACAAAACAAATGTAAATCCTAGTCAACTGTTTATATAACTCTTCACTGGAACAGGATGTACTTTTCTTTGGTACTCGGGGTTGAGTTCAGGGCCTTCACACTGAGCTACATCCTCAGCCCTTTTTTAAATTCTGAGACAGGGTCTTGTCTAGTCCTTAAATGTTGTCCAGGTGGAGTGTTGTAATCCTTCTGCTCTACCCTTTCAGTGTGTGGGAATTACAGACACGAGCCACTATGCCTGGCTATAACTATCTTTACCTGAGTGTCTTCCAGGAGTTTTTAAACTTCCCATGTGCAGAGCTGAACTCATCTCTTTAGTCACCCAATGTGATCTCTCTAGGGTTCTCCAAGTTGTTGCAGTCAAAAGTATCTTTCTTGACATTGCTCCTCTTGCTCACTGTCCTGCTCTGACTCACCTCACCACTGTGTTGATTCTGACGTCATAATACATTCCCAATCAGACCTGGTTACCCCAGATCTTTCCACTTGCAATACATAAGCATCTTGATTTGTTTCCCCTGCTCCAAATACTGCTCTTTCCCATGTTCTATTTGTTACAAAGATCATGTTGTAGACTTGTTGAAACCCTTCAGTAGATTCTTCCACACTTGAACAAGAACTGAGCACCTCACCTTGCATGACTGATGCACTGAAGCATCTGCACTCTCCCCACCGCTCACTGCCTTCCACATGTAGTGGTCTTTTGCTCTTCTTAAACACATCAACTGCTTTTTCCCTTCTGGATTCATGTTCATGCTGTTGTTCTTGCTCTCTAGAATGCCACCTATTCAACTTAGAGATGCTCTCCATGATCAACTAATCCTAGGATATTCTCACTCATACTCCTAAGTGCACACTTTCTCACAGTGAATAGTTGCTCAACAACATAGTTTAATAGAGGAATGAGCTATCTAATTTGGGACAATGGGTATGCAAGAAATTTGGGCCAATATAAATTCATAGCCACTTCGAATCAAGTAAAGTAGGAAAGTTTGCCAGAGAGGGGGATGAATACTTATAATCCCATCTACTAAAGAAGATGAAACAGGAGGATTACAAGTTTCAGACTGGTGTGAACAACTTTGGAAGACCCTGTCTTGAAACAAAAGAAAAAAGGCTGGGATGTAGCTCAGTGGTAGTGATTACATAGCATATACAAGGCCCTGGGTTTAATGCCGAGAACTAAAGGGGGTAAAAAACAAAAGTGTTTAGTGCTATCTTTTTACCTTGAAGGGGTACCACTGTGTCTTGCATTTTCTTGTACCTGTTCAGGCACTGTCGGAGATCTTCTATTTTCTGGTCCTACGAATAAAATAAAGTATCATCTTTTTTTTTTTGATACCGGAAATCAAACTCACAACCTCATGCTTGCCAGGCAGGCACTGTGCTGCTGAGTTACATCCCCAGCCCCCTGAATTATTATCTTTCATACTGTAATTTTAAAACAGTAAAGGCAAGTGTGACAGAATAAGAAGATGTGAATTATACACATTATTCAAGGAATACTTCTAAACTTTAGTAAAACTGGTGACATCTAGAATATTTTTCCTATGTGCATGAGATAGAGAAAAAGTACATCTGAATTTAGATGTACTTCAACTGCCATTAAAAAAAGAAAAATAATGTATTAAGATACAAAACAAAATCAATCCATTTTATTTACTCTAACTTATAAATCTGGAGAGAACTATGTCTCTATCTTTATTAGACATTATCAGTCATCATCTAGCTCTTGCCTTCTCAAGACTGTCACCAAGTAAGTTGCTTTGATTAGTCATCACTGTCCTCCTTGCTATTAAAAACAACAAACACCTCTCATCCTGTCTCTAATTTAGTATCTACACTGTTATTCTACTAACCCAACTCTGTATTCCTTCTTTCACTTGTGTTTATTTATATTTTATTTTCACAATCCCTTGGTTGACAAGATAGTCTAACTTTTAATTTTTTGGTGGTGCTAAGGCTCCAACCCAGGGCCCTGCACAGGTGTTCCACCACTGGACTATATTCCTAGCCCTTGGATATTCAACTTCTATAATCCCCATTATTTTCTAATTTGGACTATAAAATGTTAGATCTTGAAAGTTCTGTCCTAAACCCTCTCTTTTTTTTGCCATGCCCTCAATCATGGCACTTTATAAAAAATGGTGTCCTCAGCTGAGTTAGGCCAGTTTGGCAATGAAGCACGTGCACATTAAAGCTGCCCTCTTGAGGCAGGAAGCTAGGGTATGACTAAGATTGGCTAGAAGAGTAGGCAGGACCTGTTATTGACAAAATCCCAGGATACGTGCACAAAGCAAGTCCCGAAGTCCTGTTCGTGGATTTCTTTAGAGAACTCAAATCCCAGACCTGATGCTGAGGGATGGGGCGGGGGCGGGGGGATATACAAAAAGGACTGGGTGGTCATCTCCCTTCATGGTACCCCGCCCTCATGCTGGAGGGTACACTTTTTTTCCCCTACTCTTACTTAGCCCAAAGTAGCTTTGCAGCGCCCCCTCCCTCTTTTTTTGGTCTTTTGGAGACAGGATCTCACTATGCAGTTCAGGCCGGCCTTGAGTTCACTTTGTAGCCCAGGTTGGTCTCAAACTTGCAATGATCCTCCTGCCTCAGCCTCCTGAGTGCTGGGATTACAGGTGTGTGCCACCATGTCTGATCAGAGCTTTTTAAAAATTAATTAATTAATTTTTTGTCTTTTTGAGACAGGGTTTTGCTATGTAGTTCAGGCTGACATTGAGCTCACCATGTAGCCCAGACTGACATTAAACATATGGTGATCCTCCTGCTTCCTGAGTGCTAGGATTACAAGTGTGTGCCACCATTTATGTTTGTCTTGACCAATTCTTGGTTCAGGGTGGAAGGAAGCTAGAAATCACCTCTAGAAGGAGACTCTAGCACCCTAACACCCAGTAACACTCTGGTATGGCCCTAGGAAATTCTGAGAAACTACGGGAAACCTAGGCTGGTCTATTGGATAGAGATAATTTGGAGATGAGAGGAGTCATTCTAGCTGGGGCCAACCTACAATAATCTATCAATCACCACACATGTAAATTGCACTATTCTATATCATTCAGTCCATCTGAGCCACCAATAGAATCTAGAGATCAGCTAAGCCAGCCTACACCAGAAGAACCATCTAGCCAACTCACAGAGTTAGGAGAAATAATAAACGTGTTTTCCAGGGAGCAAAAACTAAAAGCTACCTGATACATCAACTACAGCCTCTACCAATTCACAATTCTGCATTTCTCCTGAAACTGATGGGGTTCATTCCCCACTAATCTACAATCCCCCATTAATCCTAAGGTTTAGAGTTGCATTCCAACTTTCTATAAGAAATCTCCTTTAAAATGTCCCATGAGCACATCAGATTAAATGTATCTAAAATTAAATTCATTATTTCTCCCTAGGACTTAAGCCTTTGCTTGGATTTCCTTAAACCTTTAAAGGTACAATTATCTTCCAATTGTTGAAATTATTCTTTCTCAAACCCAAAAATCTGTAAATCTTATTTATCTATTATAGGCAGCTAAGTTAGATAGAAATTAATATACAGTCAGAGAGGGAATGGGCTCTCAAGGAAGTTGGCACAATCAGAATTGTGGCTGGAGGTGCATCTGAAGAAGGCCAGGCCAAAACGAAGATGCAATGGCCAGGCATGCACACCTCCGTAAGGGATGAGCAGTAACTTGGAATTATACTGTAATTAGCACCACCTGGTACAGCAAGTCCAGATAGGCGTCGGGTGCCCAGGGCGGTGACCAGAGCATCTGGACCAATCCCTTTCCAAACATGCCTTTGTTCTTTCCATGCACCCTTGCTATGTAACTCATTTTCCTACTGAATCAATATTAGCTAAGCAGCTGTACTTGTAACCCTATAGCAGTGATGGCGAACCTTTTAGAGACAAGTGCCCAAATTGCAACCCCAAACCCACTTAGTTATTGTGAAGTGCCAATACTACAATTAAACCTGAATAGTGAGGTTTTTAGTTTAGAAAAAACAAATCACACATTAACAACTTAACAGTTTAACTCAGATGTCACTCAGGCAGCACCTTTGTTTATATACTGAGTATCCTGAGTGTCATTCATGCAGGTATCATTTCAACCAGTTGATTCTTGTATTGAATAAATTTGATGAAATAGTCATTTTTATGTTTCCTATTATATTACCTTATAAAAAATAAAAAACATGCAATGTTTGGTCATCCTGTATTTAAACAATTGGTCTGGCAAGTGGTTAATATCTTTTGCCTTAAAATAAGAACAACATGCATGCCATTGGTTCATTATGGGTGAGATTGTAATCTGACCCATCTTGTACCCACAGTATGACTTTGCTGTATAAATCACCCTTGATAAAGGGCTTTGATGGCCACTCCCCTTTGGGATCCCACCTGGTATAGGAGAGAGGTCTGTAGGCAGGAAGAAAATATAAAATGAGGGCCTCATTGGGGCTTTCTGGCTAATCTTGACTAGAAAGGGGTTAAAATTTAACTAGAGGGAACAATTAACAAGACCAGAGACAGGTGATAAACAGAGGATTGAGGAAGCTAGGCAGGCAGGTGCCCTAATAGCCACCTCTCCCCACCTTCAATAAAATGCAAAGGAGACAAGGGGTAGCCATTTAAAAGGAAGCTGTTATTCAGTATATAAAAATATACTTACGCATCTATAGTCATACATATATATGTGTACATTCTCACTCTAGGGTCACTGTATTACTGAACTACTGTATTACTGAACTACTGAACTACTGAAGCTCCCTTTCTATAAGCTCCTGCCCCCACTTATCACAAAAGGGCAGGAAAGAAACAAACTACCAGAAGGAATGTGCATACAGAATGGGATCCAGGCTAGGGGTTTGGGGCCTGAGATCCATTTAAGAAAGTCAGAGAACCAATGAGGTTGTAATAAGTTCTAGGCACCCACCTGGCAGGGAAGAGTCCCCCAAACATGATCAAAGGAAGCTGAGGTCAAAGGCCTGGGATATCCAATCCTTGGAGGCCCCTTACCTTCACCTCACAAGGTAGCTTTCTGTCCTCTGTTTTTCCTCCTTACAAATAAAATACTTTCTCTTTTAAATTTTGCTCCTTTAGTTTGTTACTAGCACCGAGTTTACAGTCTCGGTTGGCTATGGACTGCCCAGGGGATGTTCTTCTCTTCTTATTCCCAATAAAACCATCCCAAATTCTTCCTTTGGTTTGTGGCTTCATTCTTCCATGTTGTGGGACCATGAATTCAGCACCTGTGACACTAACAGGTTGGGAGTTATAGTTCTCCTATATTATATCTAGAAATTTCTTTAAGATTCATTCCCTCCTTAATATTGCCACTGCCTGATTTCAAGCTCTCTTCATTTCTCACCTAGACTATTTTAACAACCTCTTCATTATTCTATTTTCATACTCCTTCCCTTATTTTTACCTCCATTCTACCACCAAAGTTACCTCTCTAAAACCACAATTCAGCTGTGTCACTATCCAAAGTCTACAAGCTAAGACCTCCCATTCATGGACCCTGCAGACAAAGATGCCCACTATCTGACCAAGCTGCGTGGTCAGCGTCAGATCCCACCCTCAACCTGGGTGTCTCCTGCTCTAGTACTTTCCTAGTATGTCCTGAAGTGTTTCAAGCAAGGGTGTTGAGGTATGCTTCGGCTCGTGGACCTAAGGTAGGACAGATGAAATAAAAAGTAAGCAGAAAGGAGACAAAGGAAATTGAGATTTTAAAATTGTACTTTAAAATAATAAAAGAAAAACTATAGCTTTTAAGACAGGTGTTTTCCAGGAAACTCAGTCAAAAAAGACAATTTTTAAACGTTCTGTAAATTAGGGTTCTGGATCTGTGCTTTCCACCTGTAAATTTTACTTCCTCCACTGTAGGAAGCAGCAACACTGCTGATGGGCAGCATCAGTGATGCTCAGCGAATCTCAACCTCAAGCAAATGCTTCCACTGTAAGGTGACAGAGGGCAAGCATACAGCACTGTGGATCACCCATCTTGAAGACATTCCTTAATGTAGCCCACACTAGGTTGTAATATGTCTCTCATTTCTCTGAATACCTGCACCCAAACATGGACTGCAACAAATAAAACCTTCTGTTACTTTTACTGGCATGCCTTGAAAATTCTTTTTCTGTTAACAAGAATTAGGAAACCTACAAACTTAATTTTAAAAGGGTCAGATAAGTTTCTAATAGACTCAACATGGTGATAGACCCCTTGTTTAGAAGCCTACGTTTTCCTTTCTTGATGACAATCTGTATCTCTCCTCAGAATTTTCCTAAAAAATGTTCT